TGGGCCAGGACAGGCTCAGGGTGGGCCAGGACAGGCTCAGGGTGGGCAGCAGCAGGAATTTCCCCATGGAAAGGGAGCTCAGGCCCTGGAAGTGCCCAGGGACCCCAGGCTGGGGTCAGTGGTGTCCCCAGGAGAGCTCTGGGGCTGTTCCAGCGCTGCTTTCCTGGGATCACTGGGAATTCTGCCCGATTCCCGTGTCCCTCTGGCTCCTCTCACCCTCCTGCTCCTCTCTCGCAGACACCAGCGGTGAGAACATCGCCGAGTCCCTGGTGGCCGAAGGATTGGCTTCTCGCCGGGAGGGGATCCGAGCCAACAAGTACGTGCACAGCTCCCATCCTGATCCCCATCCCAATCCTGATCCCCATCCTGGTCCCAATCCCCATCCCGATCCCCATCCCAATCCTGATCCCGATCCCCGTCCCGATCCCCGTCCCGATCCCCGTCCCGATCCCCGTCCCGATCCCCGTCCCGATCCCCATCCCGATCCCCATCCCGATCCCCATCCCAATCCCCATCTCAATCCCCATCCCAATCCTGATCCCAATCCCCATCCCAATCCCTGGCTCTGTGGTCCCAGCCATTGGAGCAGCTCCTGCTCCTCAGCTCCCACATTCCACGGGTGTTCCCGGGGTGTTCCGTGGCTTTGGGGCCGGGGTCTCCTGTCCCGGGGTGTCCCTGGGCTGTGGAGCCTCTCCAGTCACACCTGGGGGGGTGAATCCCCTGAATTCCCGCTGGAGAGGAGGGGCTGGGACATGGCTGGGTGATCCCAGCAGAGCCCAGGCTGTTCCCGGGCTCCCCCACATCCCAGGGCAGGGACATCCATGGGGACGGGGATCCCAGGCCAGAGGGCGCAGGACACCCAGCCTCGTTTGTGGGGCCAGGGAATCCCGGGATGGTTTGGGAGGGAAGGGACCCCCGAGCCCCCCCAGTGCCCCCCTGCCATGGCAGGGACACCTCCCACTGGCCCAGGCTGCTCCCAGCCCCAGGCTCCAGCCTGGCCTTGGCCACTGCCAGGGATCCAGGGGCAGCCACAGCTGGATTCTTTGGAATCCCTGGATTTGCTGTGGCAGGGCTGGGATGGGCTCGTGGTCACTCTGGTGGCCTTTCGGGGTGTGCAGAGCGGGGTGATCCATGGATTCCCATGGAATGTGCCTTCCCCGCTCTCCCAAACTTGCTGTGCCCTGCTGGGAGTCGGGAACGCTGCAGCCTCGGGAAGGGTTCCTCAGGAAGGGTTCCTCAGGAAGGGTTCCCCAGGCTCCCCAGGTTCCCTGGGTTCCTTGGGTTCCTCGGGAAGGGTTCCCCGGGTTCCTCAGGAAGGGTTCCTCAGGAAGGGTTCCCCAGGCTCCCCGGGTTCCCTGGGTTCCTTGGGTTCCTTGGGAAGGGTTCCCCGGGTTCCTCGGGAAGGGTTCCTCAGGTTCCTCGGGTTCCTCAGGAAGGGTTCCTCGGGTTCCTCGGGTTCCTTGGGAAGGGTTCCCTGGGTTCCTGGGGAAGGGTTCCTTGGGTTCCTCGGGTTCCTCGGGTTCCTCAGGAAGGGTTCCCTGGGTTCCTCAGGAAGGGTTCCCTGGCTTCCTCGGGTTCCTCGGGAAGGGTTCCCTGGGTTCCTCGGGTTCCTCAGGAAGGGTTCCCCGGGCTCCCCAGGTTCCCTGGGTTCCTCAGGTTCCTCGGGAAGGGTTCCTTGGGTTCCTGGGGAAGGGTTCCTTGGGTTCCTCGGGTTCCTCGGGTTCCTCAGGAAGGGTTCCCCGGGCTCCCCAGGTTCCCTGGGTTCCTCAGGTTCCTCGGGAAGGGTTCCTTGGGTTCCTGGGGAAGGGTTCCTTGGGTTCCCTGGGTTCCTCAGGAAGGGTTCCTCAGGTTCCTTGGGTTCCTGGGGTTCCCGCTCCGTTCCCGCTGTGCCGGGGGGCGGGAGGAGCTGGGCTGGGCTGGCAGGGGTTGGGATGGAGGCTCGGGATGGGGATGGAGGCTCCGTGTGCCGCAGCCCCGAGCAGAGCCGGCTGGCAGAGCTGGAGGAGCAGGCCCGCAGCGCCAAGAAGGGAATGTGGAGCGAGGGCTCGGGCTCGCACACCGTGCGCGACCTCAAGTACAGCCTGGAGAACCCCCGGCACTTCGTGGACTCCCTGCACCAGAAACCTGTCAATGGTAACGTGGCCCTGTGTCCTGTGTCACCACATCCCTGTGTCACCACATCCCTGTGTCACCACGTCCCTGTGTCACCACATCCCTGTGTCACCATGTTCCTGTGTCCTGTGTCACCATGTCCCCGTGTCCCATATCCTTGTGTCACCATATCCCTGTATCACGATATCCCTGTGTTCTTGTCTCCCTGTGTCACCACGTCCCTGTGTCACCACGTCCCTGTGTCCCCCTGTCCCTGTGTCACCACGTTCCTGTGTCCTCCTGTCCCTGTGTCACCATGTCCCTGTGTCACCACGTCCCTGTGTCACCGCGTCCCTGTGTCACCACATCCCTGTGTCCCATATCCTTGTGTCACCATATTCCTGTATGACGATATCCCTGTGTTCTTGTGTCCCTGTGTCACCATGTTCCTGTGTCCCTGTGTCACCATCCCCCTGTGTCCTTGTGTCCCTGTGTCACCCCATCCCTGTGTCCCATATCCCTGTGTCCCCCTGTCCCACGGTCCTGTGTCCCTGTGTCCCATGTCCCTGTGTCCCATATCCCTGTGTCCCATGTCCCTGTGTCACCACGTTCCTGTGTCACCACGTCCCTGTGTCACCATGTCCCTGTGTCCCTGTGTCACCCTATCCCTGTGTCCCATATCCCTGTGTCCCCCTGTCCCACGGTCCTGTGTCCCTGTGTTGTCTCCGTGTCCCGTTCTCCTGTGTCCCTGTGTCCTCACATCCCTGTGTCCCTGTATTCCTGTGTCATGTCCCCATGTCCTTGTGTCCCTTGTCCCTGTGTACTGTGTCCCTGTGTCCCCACATTCCCCTGTCCCCATGTCCCCTGTCCCCGTGTCCCCCTGTCCCCTGTCCCCGTGTCACCGTTGAGATGATCTCCTGTGTCCGCAGCCATCATCGAGCACGTTCGGGACGGCAGCGTGGTGAGAGCTCTGCTCCTGCCCGACTTCTACCTGGTCACTGTCATGCTCTCGGGGATCAAGGTGAGCCCATTCCCGATTCCCGCTGAGCGATTCCCGCTGCGCGATTCCTTCCTGCGCGATTCCTTCCTGCGCGATTCCCGCTGCGCGATTCCCGCTGCGCGATTCCCGCTGCGCGATTCCCGCTGAGCGATTCCCGCTG